AGTTCAGGGTCAGGATCCATAGTCAGATGACTCTGACCAGGGTAGGGTCCTGACTGTCACTTACAACTTACGTGAGGTTAGTAACTTTGCTCTTCTCTTCCTCAGTTTCTTGATCTGAGTAATGGGAATATTAATACCTTATAGAGTGGTTTGACTATTAAATAATACCCATGAAATGTCTACCCCAGGGGGCCCAGCATGCAAAAAGCACTCTCCAACACTAGCCATTGTTATATTATCTTGCAAGGAAAAGTGTAAAATCAGGACAATACAGGAAAACAGGCCTAGTGACTTTCTAATAAGGGGTGCCAAGAGGGAGATGTAGCCCTCCCTGAGGCTTTTTCTGGCAAGGAGCCCAGGGCAAGACAGAGAGGGAAGGTTAGAGAAGGGAAAAGAGTTTGGTCCAGACTTAATCTTGGCAGGCTGGCAGAGAAAACAAAGGGGTACACGTGTTCTTTCCCATCACCCCACTCCACCTCTGACTGACATGGCTAAAAGGCAATCACGGTGTAGAACAGTTAATAAGTGCATGGCTGGTGACTGGCTGGCCGGGCCAGGCACTGTTTCAGCCATATCCACTCCAAGGGGCAGTGTGTGGCGCCTTCCTCCTCGAGCTCATCTCATTCGGCCTCCCTGGGACCACTCCTCACTTCCCCTCTCCCAAGGGCTCCCCTGGAGCCAGCTTCATCGTTTCAAGAACAGAACCCCCTCCTGACCTCCAGCCCAGGGAGGCCCCAAACTCTCCCACTATCTCCCTCAAACAGCATGCCTAATTGGCCCCTGTCTGTTAGTCTTGAATCCTTTTCTTTGGAGGGCTCCTGGCATTCGGTGATAAGGGAATAAATATGCTGGGAGTAGAGGGCGGGTAGTGTGGCAGGAGCCTGTGTGGCGCACTAGACAGTGATAGATCTGGAGCAGAACTGCTGTGGCGCCACAGGAAGATAAAATATCAACAATCGACAGCAAAAACAAGCCTTTCATTATTAAAGAAACCTAACCTACAAAACAGCCAACAACCACATGCCATAGTGTCAGACTTTCTGATTTATTTATTAACATTTATCAGATATTCCAGGGCTCTCTCTTGTCTCCTCTCTGCAAATCAGGGGTCCTTGGCCTTAGGTTAACAGCTTCTGAGAGCTCACCCAATGAAGGACCCCTCCTACCTGCCAGGGAAGAGGCAGCCTGGAGGCTGAAAGGTCACACAGGGGGTGGGCAGGTGTGGATCCCTGAGGGATGACTTTGCTGTCCTCACCATTCCTGAGATGTCAGAAGCCCAGGAAGGGCATGGAAACAAGGCTTCTAGTCATTTCTCCTCAGGCCTGAGGAATCAGCAAAGCTGGCTCCCTGCTGTGCTTTCTTAACCAGTTAGAACCACCAATAGGCTGAAGCAGCTCCTACCTCAAGCTCTTGTTGGCCCTGCTCACCAGCATTATAAAGACCTAGTGGCAGCTCCGCCGCACACACGTTGTGTTAGCCCTCTCAGCTATGGCAATAAGACCTTCACTGCCCTGCAAGTCTGAGGAGTAAGAGTGCTGGAGGGGGCGTTTTCTTGGGGCCGCTTTGGGCTTCACCTGGACCCTACCTGAGTTGACCTGTTAAAGATACCATCTGTGCTAGTGCTAAGCCCTCCCATCACGGCTCCTGGTCCCTCCCTGGCCCCTTTGCCTATGGCAGAGAGCCCAAGTGCAGGCTCACAGGTTATTTCGCTGGAGCGCCTCACACAAGTTCTGGTTGGTATCGGGTTCCTCCGTCAGCAGCTCCACAGCCTCCCATTCCCCAGATCGGCTCGACCTTTTTATGGCGTCCACCACACTCTGCATGTATAGCCCATCCTCGAATGAGGCGGCCATGGAGACTGGGGTGTGGTCCCATGTGCGGCGGTCTCCCTGCCCTTGGAAGGACTGGCGCAGGGCCTGCACCATGTAGACCATGCCCTTCAGATAGAGCAGTGGGACATCCTGGGGTCCCTGCTCGGGCAGCCCCACGCCCACAGCCAGCGAGTCCCTCAATAGCAGCTCCTCTTGTGTGGCAGTGTTCTTCTGCCCATAGAGGTCAGCTCCCCGGGCAACAAGGCGTCCCGCAGAGCCCACCACCATGACCTCATGCACAAAGGTGCCTGGCATATTGAAGTTGAGTGTTACTGTGCTGCACACACCCCCGCTCATGAGCATCTGGAAGAAACAGAAGTCATCGCTGGTGACATGCCGGATGCCACGGATGGCCGCATTCTGCCTCACAAAGGTCTTGAGGAGCCCATGGACCTTCTCGGCTCTCCGGCCAGTCAGATGGGTCAGCAGGTCCACAATGTAGGTGCCCATGGTGTGCAGGCCCCCACCACCCATGAGCTCATCGCAGATCCAGCCATAATTAGGGCTGAGTAGGCTGCCTGAGTAGATACGAGCATCGCAGATCATCACTGCGCCCACATAGTGCTCAGCAATCAGCTGTTTCATGCGCACAAAGGCAGGCAGGAAGCGCAGCACGTTCCCCACCAGGCTCATCAGCTGCGGATAGTAGCGCGAGGCTGTCACCATCCGGAAGGCATCCACTGAAGTTGCTGCCTTCTCGCAAACCACATTCTTCCCAATACCTGAGAATAAACAGAATAGCAAAGTTCCAAGGGGTTTACACTGGGGGAAAAACTATTTCTCAAAGGCAGATGGACTCAGGAAAGCCTTCTATGAGACCAGATGGTGGCCTGGGACAAAAGGAAAGGTGACTTGACTTGGATGAAAATGGTATCCAGTGACTGAGACTAGAGAAAAAGTTATGGGCTGGAGAAAGAGGATAAAGTTCTTAAGGGAGAATGAAAGTAGAGGCAAAAAGGCACAAACCAGGATAGGAAGTACTGGTGGTGGGATGGTAATGTGTCAACTTGGCTAGGCTATGGTGCTGACCAAATACCAGTCTAGACATTGTGGGAAGGCATTTTTTAGATGTGATTGACATTGAAACCAGTAGATTTTGAGTAGAGCACATTATCCTCCATGCTGTGGGTGGACCTCACCCAATCAGTTGAAGGACTTAAGAAAAAAGACTGAGGTTCCCTAAAGAGGAAGAAATTCTGCCTTCAGATGGCCTTCAGACTCAAGTCTCCAACATCAACTCTTGCTGAGATTTCCATACTGTTGTCCTGCTCTGCAGATTTCAGATTTGTCATCTACAATTGCATGAGCCCAATGCCTTAAAATAAATATTTCCCTCTTTCTCTCCATGCATCCTATTGGTTCTGTTTCTCTGGAGAACACTGCCTAACACAAGTGAGCTGGGGAGGTGACATGCTTCTTGGACATGCCTATGCATTTATGCCTTTATGCATTTATTAGACCACCACCAGCTCGGGGCAAGAGAATCTATATTCTAGAGGATGGGCTTTGCACTCTCAGGTGTTACTGCAGAAAAAGGGCTCTAAGATTATCTAAAGATTGTCCTCTGGATAATCTACCCAATAAGTTAGGGTAATTTACCCAATAAGTTAGGGTAGTCAAAAGGCCAGAAAATGCTTGCCTCCAGGAGTTGGTGAAAGGGAGTGAAAACATCCTTTCTGCCCTGGCACCCGTTCTGAGTGCACTGCAGTGGGAATGTACTCAGAGAAAAACAAAGCTAGACAAAACCCAAAGAGAGAGTGCTCAAGGACTGAGCAGCTTCCTTCCATATGAGGAAAGAGAAAAGATCAACATTTCTCCATGTTTTAAGATGGAAGTTCGTGAAGGTATGAGCAGCCATAAGACACCAATACCTGAGGTGTCTTGGTATGTGAGCTTGGGATGGTTCAAGGCTAATACTCTTCAATAAAAAAAGCCCAAGAAGTGGTATGGATTAGACATATACAACAGGTGAAGGCAAGCTGGGGAAGAGTGAAGACATCCAGTTATTCCATTACTTATTCTACAGACACTGCCCAAGGTGGGCAACCCAAATTCCACTACTCTAATTCCTCCAGGAAGTCTTGGGCTTCTTGAGGGAACAAGCTCAAGGTCTGGTAGGAACACACAGCAATTCTCCCTTGCAGATGGCAAGATCAGGGAAGGCTTGACAGGGGAGCAACACTGGGGTTATCTTAAAGGGAACAGATGTTCTAAGGAGTATAAGGCATCCGTTTTTACCTCTAGGAAGACTTCAGTTGCTTTAAAAGACATGTTTATTTAAGTTTATC